TTTACTTCAGAGGTTTAAGACACTGAGATTTTTGCATTAAATGTATTTAGGAACAAGATGAAGAACTGCTTGTGAGGAATTTAAAGCCAGCAAAGACAGGGACTTACACAAAAAAATAAAAATGTTTTATCTGGCCTTCACATGTGCTCGCCTAATCATGTTTCCCTCTAAGGATGAAGTCAAGTTGCCTGGTAACTAAACGGCAAAGGAAATAGTTAACTTAAGAATCACATTTCTTAAACAAAAGAATGAAGGATGGTGGGGAATGTTAAAATGCCTCAGGATCAACCTTGAAAGAGGAACAGGACTGGTGAGACATCATAAGGCAGCATTTTATATTGTAAAATCTGTAATGAGATGTGTCTTCACTTACAGATGAAGGGCAGTCAGGAGACGACGGATCCACTTAGTGACTGTGGACTTGAACAGACTGACAAAGTAATAGTATGTTATAGTGAAAACATTTTGTGGATTAAAAATGGCAAACAAGTATTTAAGCAGTATTGAAAACTTACTTTATAATTGTGAAAGGTGTTGTCATTGTGGAGTCTGTAGTGATTGATGAACAAAATGTAGGACCAGACTAAACAGAGCGGGTTGGAAGAAAAGTGGAAAAGTGAAAAATAAATGACAAACCAAGTACACAATAACTACAATAGATCATTTCATGTAACCGTGGTAACGCAATATTATATACTCTAATAATAACTAACATAATAGCTGTGTGATCAAAATACATGCAATTGGTCTAATAAATACTATATAAATGCACAGTAATTATTTCTGTTCTTTCTTTTTTTCTTTTATTTATGTATTTATTAAAGATGGTGGTTAGTTATAAATTGAAAACAATGCATTAGAAAAACATGGTTTTACTTGAATACAGGGCTGACCTATAAAACAAAACAATATTACTTAAGCAACAACAGTTTGCTCCACATATTTTCTTTTCTGGCACTGAACTCTGCACATTACACAAAAACAGCTCATTATTTTTCACTAAGCGAAGCTGTACGGTAATCACTCTGCTTTTCCAGGCACAGACTCGAGTGACCGATGAGTAATGTGCAGCTAACACAATTGCATATAAATCCACGTTCATTTCCATAAGACAATGTGCACATATACTACTATGACAGCACTAACAGCGCCCAAAGACAGCACTGCCTCTCCAACTTCAACAAATAATTAGGTTAATTTAGCCGTTTAGTCCAGTGACGCCGCAGGCCTGGCCCCAAACGTCTGCTGGGGTCGCTTGTTATTTCTGCGTTCTGACAAATGGATGTAACTTCAAATAGCCTCCATGTTGCTCCGGCCTTTATCTTTTTTTCTCTCGGGCACTTCTGTCCAAACCCTATTTATTTTTAATTGCTTTTTAGTCTTCGTCTGCATCTTTGTTTAGACGAATGTGTGGCATCCGATAAGCCAAGGCAATAATAGGAAATTAATTTGAATACATTTACAGAGACGGATGCGTGTTATGTGTGGAGAAGGAAACTACAGGAGTTATTTTGGGGTTGTTGTGAAACAGGCTCCTACAGCTCCACTCAAACAATAAGAGATACAAGATCTCAACCATATTCCATACAACTCACCCTTATGTAATAGATAACCCTATTTTCTGTCAATGATTATTTAATCTTTGTACTTTCTCCTTACTACCTCTTATATGTAACTGAGATATATTTGTATTATTAAATTTCTATATTTTATTTTTATTTCTACATATACATTTATCTAATTATACCTTATTTGACACCAGTCTCTTGCTATTTTTGCTACTTATTTTGATGAGAATTATTATTTATATTTTTGCTCATTGTTATTATATTTATTGTGATGTTTGAGCTACTATATTCAAATAATTCCCCTTGTGGATCAATAAAGTTTGTCTTAGTCTAAGCTGGGCTTCTATTGGTTTCTCAACTGGATGTGCCCGTGCTAAAAGCTGGTGGTTTTGGAAAGCCATCTGATTAGTCCCATTTTTGGCACAGGTAAAGCTTTCGACCAGGTGCAGCAATTGAGCTGTAATTCTCAAAATTTTCACTAAAGCACTGCATCAGAAAGATCATTTGAAAAGGCTCATAGAGATATAAAGTTCGAGCACAGTCCTGAACTCTACAGTGAAAATTACTGTCAGATGCAAATGTTTATCTTTTTCTAGGTTTTTATATTTTTATATTGCTAAGTTCTAAAACATATTGATGAAATAGGAAGTAATGTCAGTTTTTCCCCTCAGATAATACCTAACTGAGCGTTGGCTGTTGTTTACACTATAGTTGCTAAAGGTAATTGATTTTGTGCTGGAGCATACTGTGCCTTGAGGGATTGCCACGTGTGTCTTGGAAAAATGATTCATACTGTTATTTAATGTAATAATTGGCTTTTTGGAGGGACTTTCTCAAAGTTCTCAACCCGAAAAGAAACAAAACAACAACTAATGCAAACTCCCTCATGCCAGACACAGTGACATGGGCATTATTTACACTTCCTGTTTTAGTGGATTGTGTGCAGAAATATATATTCAACAAAAAGGGCGGTGTGACTGATATAAGTAACTGTTGTGGAATTACCTCTACTTATCCATCACCCACGAGGAAGTAAAATTATAATCCTCACTAAAAGATTTTTTTCTTTTTTTTTTTTTTTGATGTAGCTTCTTGGACATACTGAGAAGCAGTTTTTTATTGCTTTCTGTTTGTATTCAGTTCGTAAGGTGAAAATGTGAATTTCTAAGCACAAAACATGGCCGTCACCTTCCTAAAAAGACACATAAATCCCATTCTTGTGTCTGACAGTTTCCAGAGCTGTTTCCTGCGTGTGATCTATGCTCTATGCTGTAATGAACTGCTGTGGCCACATAGAGCCGTGTTGCAGCGCCACATACAATTCCATTTACCTGACTGTAATGAAAAGGCCGTTTGTGGCGTGATGGCACAGGCCAGGTCATCCTGCCTCTGGCTCCCAGCAGTGGAGCAGGGAAATGTGTTGTGTTCATGTCCCAGAGGAAACAGCAGCACCACTCCACCGCAGATTTTTCCTCCTCGATGTGTAAATATGTGGTGGGTGAGATGCCTGTCTGGAGGAATATAATGCAAAGAACATATTTATAGTATCATTGTTTAGTTGTTGTAGTTGTATATTGAGAATAAACACTTTCGCATGATGCCTATGTAATTCAGTTTGTTGTTTCTACTTCTAATAAGTATACATAAATAGTATTCCCTGGCTATGGTCCTAAACAGTGCTACTTTATAATTTGATAGCGCAGGCGCGTCTGGGCGCAGGCGCGTCTGGGCGCAGGCGCGTCTGGGCGCAGGCGCGTCTGGGCGCAGGCGCGTCTGGGCGCAGGCGCGTCTGGGCGCAGGCGCGTCTGGGCGCAGGCGCGTCTGGGCGCAGGCGCGTCAGGCGCGTCTGGGCGCAGGCGCGTCTGGGCGCAGGCATCTGGGCGCAGGCATCTCTGGGCGCAGGCATCTCTGGGCGCAGGCATCTCTGGGCGCAGGCATCTCTGGGCGCAGGCATCTCTGGGCGCAGGCATCTCTGGGCGCAGGCATCTCTGGGCGCAGGCATCTCTGGGCATCTGACCACCACACCTGCACAGAGAGGTTTGGATTTTTTAATTGAACAGATAAATTGGATAAATTCTAGAGTTGTAATAGGATAAATTACTCTAAATAATAATAATTTACATTAAATCTAAATGCTGGAACTTGTAATTACTAATCTGTACTTTATTTACACAAAGTACTTGTCCAGTATTTGTAAACAAATTCTCAATTTGATTGTTGCTCAGTATTGCACATTAAACAACTTTAAAAGTATTTAAATGGAAAGAGTTGTGTTGAGCAGAATGTAGTTCAGAGGAAAGAGTTGGAGGCAGCTGGCTAGGTGGCCCTGGCTCCCGTGAGGGTCCACAGTTGCAGCTCTGAAAGATGAAGCCTGTCAGAGCTAGCCAAACAGCGCTAATGCTTTCCCCCAGAAAGCTTCGTCGTCCAAATGCTAACAAGCAGAAGCTGGCTGTGTTTGTGTACATTTTGAACAGATGCTCTGGCTGTAAATATGAAGGAAATTGCAGTTTGTTTTTATTTCAGCGCATTTAGCAGCAACTGCGATTGTCTTCTCCAGGAGATTTGGCTGAAAATGAAAAGCCTTTTACACATGTGCACATTTGATGATGGTGGTTAGATTCTTGAAATATATAGGCATATGGTTTAATTCATAGTCATTTGAGTTTTATATGATAATGGCCTGAAAAAGATTGCTTTATGGTTTTATATATATATATATATATATATATATATATATATATATATAGTCTGTTGTCTGTCTCTAAACAATTGGCCTACTACTGTGAAGTGGGAGTGCATGTATTTTTGTCATTTATATTCAAATTCTAAGTGTTTTCTAGTCTTTATTTGATTCACATTTGTTTGTTCATTCAGTGTTTAAGGTCTTTGTTTAGTTGTCATGATTCATTAGCTGCTAATGGTTAAAGACTTGACACAGTGTAAAATGGTATTTTACACAACTGTAATCTGGCTGGTTTAGCACACTCATCAGGAAACTGATCAGCCCTGCTCTGCACATTTCCCCAGTGTGAAGAGCCCATGTATTCTCCACCACTGCACCTGAATTTATCTATTTGACAATCTTAGCTACACACACACATCACTTGGTTGTTTCTAACCACCTGCTTTGCTTCAGGGAAATCACTATAAATGGGAGTTTTTGCTCTCCCCTGACATTTCTACATGTATTCATTAGATTACAGATGACAAATAGGCTCAGATCTTCCTATGTCGACATGGAGCAGCCCAGCTGTGAGAGCTGCTCCTGAGGTTTACGGCTGTTTGTTCCACCGCTGCAGGGCTCCACTCTGCAGCACAGAGAAGCAGCACCATCAAAGTTTAAAGAACAAAAATAACAAATACTATTGATTGTATGACTGACGTTTTAATGTATAAGAATATTTATAGACCTCACTCTGTTTGTGTTCACAGAATCAGACGATATGCAAAAGCCTCAATGAACTCCAGAATGGACAGGTAAGCAGATGCTACAATCCTCTTTGGTGCATAGTTTGACTTTATTATATGGTGTGAACAGGACCCATCTTGATATGTTTTTAAAGTGCCACTCTACTTGTTTCTACAGAAACACTGAATGTAGTTTTTTAGACAGAGCAGAGATAAGCGGATAGAAGTTCATTGTCACCGTGAGAACGGTGATTTATTACCACTGGGGAATGCATTTGCATTGCATCAGCTTTGCATTTATTCCTTTTACAAAACAGTGCAGGCAACACATCCATCTCTTAGTGATGGAAGTAGATTAGTGTTGTAGAATCACTTTGTCTAACAAGTGGAACTAAGTTTATATTCACAGGGAGCAGTACAACTTTATTATTAGTGATAATACTTTTTTTATTGGTGCCCAAATTGCAAAGGGATGCTGCTGCATCCTCGGTGTATCACGCAAAATGTAAGTACAGAGCAATGTGTTTTTAGAGAGCGGTAAACATCAGTTTTCAGAGCAATGGTGTCTTGAATAAAGATGACTGAAACAAGGATAGAAGCTCTCAAAGGTTTATTTTAAAGAATTTCTCTCCTTTAGATGACAGTTTCTATAAACATTGAACAGTTATCATTCAATGTCCTCTTGCATTTTTTTGTGTGTGTTAAAATCCATTGGTTGTGGATGGGATGTATGCAGAGTTCACCTTCCCCTGTATCTCCCTGAGGTGTAATTAGACTAGACTGAGAAAAGAGATCAATTTAACATCATAATTTGACCAGAGCCAAGCTGTTCTCTGATTCTCTAGAGGTTTATGTACCTCTTCTTTGTTGGACACTGTCAACATCAAGGGAAACTGCATCAGTCAATCAGAAGAAACAAGTACCATCCACACAAAATACTAATTACAGGTTATAACTTAAATATACTATGATATTTTATTGCTTTTTCTAGAATGTTCCATAGTATGACATTAAACATATCCATCTTGCAGTTGTAAAATCGCAGGTGTTTTAATTGCTTCAAAAAGTCAGCATGCATTCTTATTGTGAGTGGGTTTGCTTCTCCACAGATCTAACCTGTAACTTGAGGTGGTGATGTAGCTGCTTGTCTCCATGGAGATAGGTTTAATATCACTCAGTGGAACATTCAGGGTAATACAATAACATCTTCCGTAGAGATAATCAAGTGGCAGATCCACCTCCAGAGAAGTTACGATGTGCACCTTTAATAAATAATATACAGTTGCCTTAGTGTGTAGTGAACAGCTGTTCCAATCCCTGTTGCCCTTGCTGTTTTACATGAAGGGCACAGTGTGTATGACAGCGCCACGTACCGGGAGTCACCATGTCTCTAAATCACCACCTGCTATGAGCAAATTAAATATTGACTTCTGGTATTGACTTGTAGATCTAATTTGAAGTGATTGCGGATGAGCAGTAATGGTGCTGAAAAAGAGGGCGGGAGGGCTTAATGGGGTGCTGCTGGTCACTTGTTAAGACGGCTGTAATTGGCTGGATGTGAATCATTGAGTTGCAGAGATCAACAGAGGTCCACCACGCTTTAAAATATGGGTGATAAAGAGGGTCATAAATTTACTGATGATGCTCGACCACGTAAATATAGAAGTATAACAAACCTGCTATGCTATGCTAACAGAAATGGGGTTCTAAGTGTTGTGGAATAAATGAAATAGCCTGAGAGTGTAAAGAGAGGCTTGATGTCTATGGTTGGAGTTTATTCATTCATTCATTATTTATCCTTTCAAGTACGGCCATGCATCTGTTGTACAACTGTACAGCAACTCACCTGTATGTAATGATAACACTATGTCCTATCAATGATCATATCATTGCTGCTGTCTTCCTATGACCTCTTGTATAAAGCTGTGATTTAATTTTATTACTTATCTTTCTATATAATTATGTCTTATTTGACACCTGTCTCTTGCTGTCTTTTTGCTACTTATTTAGAATTTATTATTTATATTATATATATATTTTACATTTATATGTTTAACTCTTCGTTGTAATTATATTATGATGTGCGAGCTACTGTGTCCAAATAATTTCCCTTGTGGCTCAATAAAGTTTGTCTAAGTCTAAGTAGGGAGTATTATAACATAGAAAAAGCTCCTTTTCCTGAAGAAAAAGGTGAACCTGCTGACAAGATGGCGGTCATGTCCGGGACAGGTGTAAGGAAAATAAATATGTCTTCTTTTGAGCGCCCACAGAGTGTCTGAGTTTGCCCCAACGTCCTCCAATAGCCCCGCTGTGCTGCATCACTCCTTTTTTCCACCACTGACAAACCTCATCGGAGAGCGCCGTGCTGAGCCTCCGAAATGGAACATCTTTCATTGAGATCCACTGTGTCAATATTTGCCCACTGGCTCAGGCCAAATACACAGATATTGAAAGGCGTCACACTTGGAGAGGCAGGAGGAGGAATGTGCTAGATAAAGAAGCCGAAGTGTGGATGGAGCACCACACCTCCTCTGTGAGCTGACAAGACGATTTAAAGCAACAGGGCCCATGTCTCCAGTTTAGTTTATATTTCAAGTATCTGTACAGAAAGATACTTGTTAAAATTTGTTTCTATTTTAAGAACTAATACAGTATATGACACTAAAACTATTTTTAAAAAATATCTATGTAATTTTTACTGTCTTAAAAACATGAAAAAAAAAAAAGATTTGCAGTTTGCAAAGTTATTCCTCACTTACCTTAAGCATTCTGAGCATCCTAATTGATCACTGCAATGAGTTTATAAGCACCTTTCACAACTTTCAGTGTCCAAAACAGAGTTTTACAGTCATGCTAATGCTAATAACAACTAGCACGCTAAACCACACTTTCTGATTAATAATAAAATGTGTTGTGATTAGATTCAACACACATCAGACATATTTTGACCTCAAGAGCTGTTTACACAATATATATGTACTGGGGCATGATACATTAGTAAAAAATTTATATAGGGCCTTTTAATTTTTATTATACAACTTTGACAATAAGTAAGTGATCTATCTTTTTGTTATGTTGTCTGTTTAAAACATACAACAAATATCCAAACTACACACTTATTTTTTTTTTTAATAAGTTTGCTTCTTAAAGAATAAATCAAAACAGCGGGTCCCTTTTAGATTAAAGGAAAACTGGTAAAGATGTGATTTGCTGGTACATGTCTACTTTGTCAAACACTCTAAAGCCGCAGTTATACCCCACGGTGTACCCCTCTTTGTCTCAGTCATGCTGACTATTATTAATTGAGTGTCATTTCCATGGCAACATCATCCCCCAGCCCCCTGTTACATCATTTAAACCACAGTGTAGTGCACCAGCACCTGCCCCCTTACTGAGTGTGCTGGGATGTGCCTCCTCTCTGCCCTGGGCCTGTCTCACCCCATGGAGGAGGGGGTAGGGTACAGAAAACCTTCTTTTGTCCCCTCGTCAGACCCAGTGGGTGACAGGAAGTACCCTGACTATTATTGCTCGGAGACTTTAGTTACGGTATTTTGCGCCAGAGAAGACATTTCATTTTGACTTGGGGTGAAAGTTAATATTTGAAAAATAGAGAAAATAAGGTAGAGAAATATTGTGATTCATTCGTGTTGGTAGAGTATAAGATACTACACATTTTTTCCTTTGGCTTTTAACTAGTTTGAGGCCTTGGCTTTACATCTTCAATATTTATTGACTGTATAACTCTGCTATGTTTTATCATATAGCATTTCGGTCAACTATTTTAGTTTTTAATAGTGCTTAATACATTAACTGGGTTTAGTTAAGAAGACCAAAACATCTACAATCTACTTTTTCAACCTCTCTATCCTGTTTTCACTGTAGTCCTGGTGGTCATAGGCCGAACCGCAGCTCTGTCAGTTAATCCTCATTTTGCGCTCAAATGTGCTTGTGTGCGTTGTGTGTACTAGCTACTCTTTGTGGCTGCATCTGTCTGCTTCTATTGTCTGCAGGGGTCCATCTGCTGGCCTCCTCCCCCTCCATACCCCCCGCCCCCTCCCCGGACCCCTCCTTTCGTCAGTTGCACACGGGTTTGGAGTTGTGTAGGAAAGCCAGCTGTCCCTGCGGCCTTAGTTTGATTTCTGAGTCCTCTCTCTGGCCACAGTTTTGGAGTACGTTCATTTGAATGAATTGAAAGTATTGAAAGTCACTCGGCAAGCTGTAAGTCTGATTTGATTTCTGTTTCACTGAATTAACACTACAATGGTCAAAGACATAGCATTGATAACTTAAGTTGTAAACAACTCTTTATTAAAACCAATAGAATAGTGGTGTAATGGAACTATTTTAATTTGCCCAAACAGCCCCTGACAGGGCTGTGGTTAGTGATTCCTTACTCTTGTACTCTTGTGTTTATTTGTCTATCTTTTTTATTTTTGAATACATTCACATGGGTAAAAAGTTGGATTTATAACTTTATATTGGATCTGTTGTTGCCACCTGCGTAATTGTCTCACTAATGTCCACTGTAATAAGAACCTGATATTTGGGGTTCTTTTGGGATTGATCTTAAATGTTTTTTTGTTTTTTTTCTGATGATATGTGCAAAATTCTAAAACTTGGAAATGAAGCCAATGTGTATCATTTTTGCTTTGACAAGTCCAACAAACACAGCCGTTTTCTGTGCTAGCCAAATCCCCTCTAGCTGTAATATTTCTCCCTGTGACATTCAGGGGTTTGACTCCTCAATTTTCTTTCACTTTCACTTGTTTGTTTGGTAGAAAGCCTCAGAAAAGATAAAACCAACAGAATCATCTCATTTAGCTCAACAGATGTCCTTAATCCTGGCTAATCCAGCATGTTAAGCGGTTGTTTTCTTAGGCCAGACCTGCACTGGAGCTTACCACAGGCCAATTGGATGCTCACTGCTGGACCCCCTCTGGTCACCGCTCTGCCAAGTCCAGAAGGAATAAATAGTGTCTGCAGTGTCTGTGTGTCCATAACATATGTGAGGCTATTTATGAGAATCTGAAATTTAGAGCCCAACATACTTTTTAATGTTGAATGTTAAT